GGCTTGGGGTGTTTTTTGTCAACTCCTTGTTGATTTCCCAGAATTTTTCAGTGTATGGCTCTCATGTGAGTATGGGTGGTGGGTTTTCAGAGCATATTTTAGCTGAAGTAATATATGGTGGAACCCCCCCCCCCCCCGCAAGCAGCTATATATGCAAATAATCGAAATGCTACTAAAAAGAGTTCTCTTTTATGGCTTTCAACTTCTCATGTTTTATTTCTCTTAAAAAAATTTTTTTTTAAATTTAGTATTTATTTAGTTTTGAGAGAGAGAGAGAGAGAGAAAGACAGACAGAGCATGAGTGGGTGAGGTTCAGAGAGAGAGGGAGACACAGAATCCGAGGCAGGATCCAGGCTCCGAGCTGTCAGCAGAGTCAAACCCACGGACCGTGAGATCATGACCTGAGCTGAAGTCCGACACTCCACCGACTGAGCCACCCAGGCGCCCCTCGTGTTTTCTTTCTTAAAGGCCTTTCGGGGACATGACTTGAGGAATTTTGTAATGTTTATGAAAATCTGCATCCTGGTTTCTCAGTCTCTGTACTATTGACTTTTTAGGCCAGGAGATTCTTTGTTGTGGGGGCTGTGCCGTGCGCTGTACGAGGGTCAGCGGCATCTCTGTTCTTTACCATGGTTGCCAGCATCCCCATCACTCCACCGGGACAACCAAAGATGTCTCCAGACGTTGCCAGATGCCCCCTGGAGGCATAATCATCCCCTGTTACGAAGCAATCATTTATACAATGTTAGAATGTGTCTTGGAAAAAATGTTTTTACTGTAAATAATACAGTAAATAATATGGGTTCTGTCTGATAATTACAAGAACTATAGTTACCAGATATGGTAAATTATAGGATTAGTTACTTTCAGAGATGTCTGGCTATGAACTTCTCTTAAATAGTGTTACCCAAAGAATATAACATAACTCAGTCTATAAAATGTTACATAGAGGGGCGCCCAGGTGGCTTAGTCGACTGAGCGTCCGACTCTTGATTTTGGCTCCGGTCATGATCCCAGGATCATGGGATTGAGCCTCGCGTCGGGCTCTGCACTGAGCGTGAAGCCTGCTTGGGACTCTCTCTCTCCTTCTGCTCCCGTCCCCGCTCGTGCCTGTTTTCTCTCTCTCTGTCTCTCTCTAAAATAAAAATAAACAGGAGCACCTGGGTGGCTCATGGTTAAGTGTCTGACTTCCGCTCAGGTCACAATCTCATGGTTGGTGGGTTTGAACCCCACATGAGGCTCTGCGCTGATAGCTCAGACCCTGGAGCCTGCTTCGGATTCTGAGTCTCCCTGTCTCTCCCTCTGCCCCTCCCCTGCTTGTGTTTTCTCTCTCCCTCTCTCTCTCTCCTCTCTCTTTCTCTCTCAAAAATAAATAAACTTAAAAAATAAAATTAAAATAAATAAGTAATAAAATGTTACATATAATCTCTCAGGATCACCTGACTCTATAACAGGACATGTTCTGTTTACTTGCCTGGGTCTGAGGGCATGTGTTTGCGAGTATATCCATTTATCAGTCTGGATTGCAGATTCTCTCCGTAGTCTCTTATGATTAACCACTCATATGTGTTAGCCTCTTTGACTTTTCCTATGCACATGCACAATCCTGTGTGCATAAACATACACGTGTTTGTATTATGTGCCTTCGCGGTGAAGGGGTTCAGAAGTACAGAGACACGTTGATTATAATTTTCTCACTTGACATGCTTAATTTTGAGGTACCATCAACTGGCCTTTAATTTTCAATTTGTGCTCTAGAATTTTTTTAACCTCTTCAGAAGGTTTTACTAGCGGACACATTAAAAACATTCAAAGAAGCTGTTTATAGCACCTGTTCACCTTCAGCCACCTAATGTTATGTAAGTATCTATGTGTGAATGGCACTTTGATCTGGGATTTCGTGTTAATTTGCCTACTGGCCATGACATTTACAGAATAATTAGGATATTATGTTTTCGAAAGACAGTAAGTTATAATAGGCCTTTCGTTTTATTTTGCCTGCGTTTTGGAATTCTGTGGGTGTTTTTTTTTTTTTTTGTCTTTTTAAAAATTCTAGACACTTGTGACTTAGTGAGGGGTAGCTTGAAGGTGTCTTGATTCTGTTATTTTGTGCAGCCGCTGTTCTTTTTGGTCTCTGTGGCCTTGGATGGCGGGGGATGTTAGCCACAAGGCAATACATCTTTTCTCCTCTTCTTGCCATCTTTATAGGTCATTGGGCCCTACCCTAGAGGCGGATCAGAGGTTTTCTTTGCGAAGATGTGTGACATCCTTAACAAATATGGTATAACTCGCTTTAGGCACTAAATGTTTTTCTGATAAGCTGGATGTGAATTATATGGTTGGAAGGCAGATCGTGCGGTTGGAAGGCTGGGGGCTCTTGGTGAGACACCTCTGGTGATCCTCCTGGCAAATCAAAAGCTTTGTTCACCATCAGCCCTGTAGTTCCGTTGGTTTCCTTAGACCGTGATCCACCTTCTTGAGTTTTTAAACCAAGAGCCATGCCCGTGTGGGCACTCTCGTGTATGGCTGCTCTGGAGTCTCAAGCGCAATGTGCCCGTCTTTGAACTTGGCCATCCGAGGACGTGCTTGGCCCCTCGTTGGTGGGCTGCGGGCCACGCCTACAAACGATGGCGTCCGCGCTTTACGGAGTGGAACACCGCGTGCGGCCTCTGACGTAAATCGTGATGAGAACCCCGAGGCGCAAACTCACGGAGTCAGGTGCACACAGCCCTCCCCCCCGGAAGCACTCCTGGCGAAGTCGGGGGAGGGTCTTGCTCGGGTCCCGGTCAGCCCTGGTGTCCTCAGTCCTGCTTCCAGGGACCGCGGGGGAGGTGGCGGCTGGCAGTCTTAGGAAAACCCTCAACCGGGGCAAAGGGGCCACCGAAGAAGACAAGAACCGCAGTCACAGCCAAGTTCCCCGGCAGAGTCGACTCTCGGGCGTGTCCCCAGGTACTGACGTCCTCGGCCGGCTCGCCACCTGCCGCGTTGGGTCCCCGGGGAAGGAGGGGGGGCTGCGGACTCCTCGGGGGAGGCCGAGAGGGAACGAGCAGGGACGACAGGGGACGGCGAGTGTCGGGGACGTCCGTGAGTGTTGCGGGGGACGCCGGGCTTTCGGACCCCAGCCCCGCCGGCGCGGAGGGCGGGACTCCGACTAGCGGAGGCAGCGGCTGTGACCTGAAGCCCGGGCCCCGGTGTCCCCGGGTTTCTCGTGCCCTGCCGCCGGAACGGGCTGTCGTGCTGTTTGGCACGGTTCCCGCGGGGGGCGGGGGGGGCCGACACGGGACAGAGGAGAGCCGCGCTGGGGCTGACGGGACGGCCACCCTCGCGGGGGTGTGAGCGGGGGTGGGCGCGAGCGTGAGAGACCAGGAGTGTGGGAATGTGCGTAATCGTGTGTGAGAGATTGTGTGTGTGCGTACGTGGCAGTGCGTGTGAATGTGTGTAAGAATATGAGTGGGGGGGTGAGTGTGAGAGTGTATGTGTGAGAGACTGTGTGCGTGTGAGGGAGTGTGAGTGTGTGGGACCGTGTGTGACAATGTGAATGTGTAAGAATGTGTGTGTGAGACTGTGTGTGTGAGAGGGAGTGTGTATGTAGGTGTGTGTGCAGGAGAGTATGTGTGTGGGGAATGTGAGTGTGTGTGTGAGAGCGTGTGTGAGACAGTATCTGTGAGGGAGTGTGCATGTGAGAGTGCGAGAGTGTGGGGGGAATGTGAGTGTGTGAGACAGTGTATGTGTGTGTGTGTGAGGGAGTCTACATGTGGAGTGTGTGCATGTGAGTGTGTGCGAGAGTATGGGGGGGAAATGTGTGTGTGAGAGCATGTGTGAGAGTGTGTGTGAGTGTGTGAGTGTGGGAGGGAATGTGTGAGAGCATGTGTGTGAGTGTACATGTATAACAGAGACAGTGTGTGTGCGTGTGTGAGAGGGAGTGTGCATGTGAGTGTATGGGGGAATGTGTGTGTGAGTGTGTGTGAGTGTGCGAGAGTGTGGGGGGATGTGAGTGTGTGTGAGTGTATGTGTGAGGGAGAGTGTGAGTGTGGGGGAATGTGTGTGAGCGTGTGTGAGTGTGCATGTGAGAGTGTGTGAGGGGGAGTGTGCATGTGTGTGGGGGGTGAATGTGTGAGAGCATGTGTGAGTGTGTGTGAGAGGGAGTGTGCGAGTGTGTGTGCGAGAGGGGGGTGTGTGAGTGTGTGTGAGATTGTGTGTGAGGGGGAGTGTGTGTGTGAGAGTGTGAGAGTGTGGGGGGAATGTGTGTGTGAGGCCGTGTGTGTGAGCGTGTGAGTGTGTGAGTATGTGTGTGACAGTGTGCGTGTGAGTGTGTGTGGGGGGGAATGTGAATGTGTGAGAGACTGTGTGTGTGTGTGTGTGTGTGTGTGTGAGAGAGAGACAGGGAGTGTGCACGCGAGAGTGTGTGCGTGCGAGAGTGTGTGTGCGAGCGGGTGTGCGTGCGCGTGCACGGGAGCACAGACGCCGTCCTCCGGGCTCCCGAGAGGCCTCGATGCTCGCCCAGCAGAGCCGTCTGGGAATTGGGCCCCGCTTCCCGGCGAGGGCAGCAAGGAAAGCGCGGTTCTGCGCCCGGGACCCCGAGCCGCCGGGCCCCCCGGGGAGGGCAAATGGGTTACGAGGCTCCAGACCCAGAAGCGTTGCGGGGGGGGGGGGCTTCGGTGGGCGAGGGGGGCCGGGGCTGGGCCGGGCGGGGGCGGGGGGCGGCGATGTCTGGCAGGGACCGCGGGAAGGACCGTCCCGAAGGGAGGCCCCGCGCCAGGTCCGCCCGGTGCCGGACTCGGAAGGGCGTCGCCGGCGCGAGACTTGGCAGCGGACGTGACATCTGGCCTCGCTTTCCCCCCACGCGTCCCCGTCCGGGAGGTCACGCCGTCCTCCTCGCCGGCCTGCGGCCAGGCGACGCGGAGCGACCGCGGCCAAGCCCGGGCCGCAGAAGCCGCGGAGGCCGAGCGACGCGGGGGGGGGCCCTTCGGAGTTCTGGCGCGACAGGGGTTGGAACCCGGGTGCCCGGATGCGGCCTTTTCTTTGGTCGGAGCGGGACGGCCACCAGAGCGGCTGGGTAAGGGGCGGGTGTCGGGGAGCGAGGGACGCACGTTCAGAAACAGGACTGCTTATCAGGACACCGTTTTCTAAGTGGGCCCAGGTCTTTCTATTTTAAAAGTGCATTTGCCCCCGAGCAGGCGCCTCACGGTGGGCGCGGAGCCCGAGGCGGGACCCGAACTCGTGAACCGCAAGGTCACGACCTGAGCCTGAAACCAAGAGTCTGATGCTTCACTGGCTGAACCACCAGGCGTCGCTCTGCAAATCGGTATCTAGAAAGTCCGCCTGTTATTTTTGGTTGCAGTGTTTTGTTTTGTTTTTTAAGTTTTCTTACTTATTTTGACGGGGGGACAGAGAGTTGGGGGGGGGGCGCACGAGTGGGGGAGGGGCAGAGAGAGAGCATATCCCGAGTACCGACAGTGCAGAGCCCGAGGCAGGGCTCGAACTTGTGAACCGTGCGGTCATGACCCGAAGCGAAATCAGGAGCCTGGCACACAACTGACGGAGCCACCCAGGTGCCCCTAAGTGCTGGTAACATACACAGTCGCAACAAATCTCTGGCACACGTACTTTATCCTCATTTGAGAGATGTTGAAACTGAGGCCACGGCAGAGTTGGGGGGGGGGGGGAACCAGGTGTTGAATCAAGACTGTCTCCGAAAAACTTGGCCTCGAACACCCACCTCCGCAGGTTCGACCTGGATCTTTACCTCGCTTCAGCCGCAATTTGTTGAGTGCTTCCTGTGTGCCGCGTTCCGTGCTTGTGTGCCGGGCATACCGACTGGAGGAAGACGGGGCCCTGGTCCTTCAGGTGCTCACAGCCGCGGGGACACCCGAGTGAGTGGGCAACGGCAGTGGGGCCACACATGCTCTTGAGAAGGCGGGACACGCTCCGTCACGCTGGCAACTGAGCAGAGACAAGACGGCGGCGGCCCAGCCCACTTTTTGTGGCCGCTTCGTCCACATCCACTACCCCGAAGGCTCCATCTACCTCCGTTGCTGACTCGGAGAGGACTGGCTTGCTTTCTACGGAAGTGGACGCTTCTCAGGCGAAAAGAGGGCCGTGGACGAAATGGGAAGCAGACCCACCGGAGAGATAGGTCCAGCTGCTTGTTGCAGGAAATCCTGCAGGCTTGATAGCCCCAAACTGTAGCAGAACAAAGCAGCGTCCAGTGAAACAGAAAGAATAAGGAAACAAAAATAGAAAAAAGAGGGGGGGACCACTTGAAGTTGAATAAACTGCCTCTGACCCCGCTCGTGGGTTCCGAGGGGGATTCTCACGTTTCCTGGATATTTTCAGATTCCGGTGGCAACTAGGGGAAGACCATTGGGACCTTGAAACTTGGTCCGGGGGGACTGAGCTGAAGACCACCAAGACACTGCACACAGACCACCCATTGCAGAGTCTTGCACGGATCTGCTGGCCAGTCTCGCGGTGATACCGCAAGGCACCCTAAGCCAGGTTTTGGAGGGCGAGCGGAAGAGCGAGAGCAGGTGTTGAAAAGCCATGAAAAAAAAAAAAGAATTAAAACCAAAATGTGCCTCAGGCTCATTTCAGCTGGCAGCAGAATTCTCTCTCTCTTTCTTTTGAATTTGGCATTATTACAGGCATCGCCACTGAAATACCAGAAGTCTCGGGGGCCAGAGCACTTGGTCAGTCTGGAGGTGGGCTTCTCATGAGCCCCCCTGTAAATCTGTGGAGGAGTGCATGTGGAGGAAGAGAGGTGAGGGGGCCGCTCCAGGAAAGGGTGTACCCTGGATGTGAGCTCCTGGGGACCCAGGAGACGCTGGCATTGCGGAGATGCAGCTGGGAGCTGGTCACCTGGGCGTGAATCATAGAATCATTCTGAGGATTAAATCAGCAAGCGCGTACAGGATGCTTTGGCTTGTGCCCGGCCTGTGCACCTGTGCTCGGGAAATATTAGCTGTTGTTACTGTTTCTTCCCCGGGCAAAGCGATATCATCCTCTCTCTGCAGCATGAGAAACTGATGTCAGAGGAGAGGCACCGTTGTGGGTAGGGAGGAACTTCTGGGCTCACTTATCCTCTTTCCTTTTTCTCGTTTCAGTTCTCCGCTTTCGTCCTTGTTAGAAGGCCCCCACAAGTTGAGTTTAAACGGGAGACTTCTCCAGTGCTGTTGAATTCACGGAGTGTGTGTGCCGGCCGGCCTTGGCAGGTGCCGCCTTCGACGGGGAAAGGCTTTAAGGGCGAAAGTTGGGAGAAGGGAAGGAGAAAAAAGAACAGGCCCAAGTTGAAGGTGCTTAACGTCTTCTGATGTTGAGCAGAAGCATGAACAGCGACAGTTGAGTCCAAGGTGGGGGCGCCCGTGCTTCTCTTCCTCGGAACCCCAACTGCTCTCGCTGCCGCATCTGGGCCACCAGGTGGGAGCCTGTGTGGCTGGGCAGTGATGGCAGACCGCGCCTGCTGCTGGGTGCGGGGAGGCGCCCCCTCTTGCCATCACCCTTCCTCCACTCGCTTCTGCTGACACCTGAGGGGAAATGGCATCCCGTGAAAAGACAGGGTGGCCGTTGGCCACGGGCCAACCGCCTCGACCCGGGGCCGCGCTGTCATCCACCGAGAGACGCCTGCGGACCCGGGGGGGCAGAGAGGGGATGAACGCTTTCGGCGGAACTTTGACCTTCGCGATTCTCTTTGCGCTCTGTCCCCTCCCTCCCCTCCACGGCTCCAGGTAGTTGACTCTCCTGTGACAAGCCTGAGGAACAAGTCTGCCAGGAAAGAGCATGGGGAGAAACCAGATTGGGGAAATTGCTTTCGGGACACAAGGTCCCCGCAAGCAGAGGCTTGTCCCCCGCCAGCGTCCTCGCGGTTGATGTGCGTCCGGGTGTGGGAAGTTGGAGGCAATTGCATACACGCTCCATTGCAAATATCCCCCCGCTCGTGCTGAGGGCCCCGGGTGGGATCCCCGAAGATGCACGGCCGTGGGGATGAGATCAGGGTGGGGTGAGCAGACAGGTTATTGAAGTTGAACTGGGGGCTGAAGAGCAGAGAGCGCTGCAGGAGTTCTCCCCTTGTTCCCCTTTTTGCTTTTTTTTCTTTTTTCTTTTTCCTTTTTCCTTTTCTTTTCCATGAGAGAATCAGAAAGGTCCCATCTGCCTTTTCGGGGAGGGTCATGCTTGGTGACTGGTAGCATCTGGGGTAGGGTCCGGTTCATTATGCCACCCAGAATATCAAAGCGGTTTAGGCGTCGGAAACCAGGGAAGGAGGAAGGGATTTAAAAAAAAAAAAAAAACAACAGCCCGGCCGCCAATCGGGGGCTCTCTGTCTGCTGTCTGCCGGCTGCTGCTACCCACTCGTTACAATTAAAATGAAGTGTCCGTCAGCGGCTATCTTCTCTGTGTGGCCCATATGTTTCTGAGCTGATACTGTCCGGATTATTCTGTTCGGGAAAACGATAACGGCTGTTTATAACCTTGGCAAAGACTGAGGCCTAATCAGGCTGGAGCACATTTTCACCAACTGGCTGATAACAGGCTGTTAGCAGCCTTATCGCTGGGGAGAGATAGGCCAAAATAAGCAGATCTGTGAGCACAGGAGCCCAATCGAGTGGTACACACTCTGGCCCCGGCTTTATTTTTAGATTCCCTTTTCCCGGTTTGATATCAGAAGGCGCAGAGGAAGGGAGGGGGGGCGGGGAGCACCGTGTGCCCCCGCGGGATGTTAATCAACATGAGAGGCAGAGGGTCAGCCCGGCTTCCAGCGCTCAGGGCTCCGTTCAAATGAGGGAAAACACATGCAGGTCTTGGGAGACAAAGGAAGGCGAGGGGCTGGCCTGGTGTGTGGGCCCTGATGGCTTAGCATCTTCCCGCCGTTGGGAGTCTCCATCTGGATCATCTGGATCGCCAGGCCTAGGTGCTCGGTTCTTCCCCCATCCTCCCCTGCCGCAGGGACTGACTTTTGCTTTCTGTCTTAATCCACTTTGCTGGGGCGTCTTCGTGGCATTCCTCCAGAATGACATTCCCTGCCCAATTCATCATCCTCACACTGGCTTAGAGACCACACAGTGGGTTGGGGGGTGAGAGGAACACAGGCAGGCGCCCCCACCCCCCCAAGCGTGGAGAGAGGACCTGGAGGGAGGCTCAGGGAAGTCTAGAACCTGAGGCACCATGACCTCATGGCTTAATAGCTGGTACTGAGCCCCCCAGGGAGAAACTGTTGGTTTTCAGAGAGGAGTAGGTTTCCGGCAAAGCCTTCAAGGAAGAGCCCTTTGAACTTGTCCCTCTACAGAGATGGATAAAAGCCAGATCTATAGCTTTTGCTCCTAGACCCAACTCTCTGAAACAGGTTACACCTGGGCCTTGACATATGTGTGGTTCTAGAACAGTTACAGATTTGAGACAAAAAGATGCTACGTGAGGTCGTCAAGCATGTGGTGAAAATAAAATGTAGGGGGGAGGCTATAATAGTGCTGGGCAGCAGATGCCATAAGCAGAAGGGAAGTTTGAAGGTATTGTTTGCCGAAGACGGTGGAAGTCTGGAAGTCTGGTATTTTTTTTCTCTGTTCATTCTGCAGAAACCTTCCTAGCCTAAAGCGCGTTAGGCATTTTATTTTATTTTTTTCAATGTTCATTTATTTTTGAGAGAGAGAAAGACAAGAGTGTGAGCAGGGGAGAGGAGAGAGAGAGAGAGGGAGACACAGACTTAGAAGCAGGCTCCAGGCTGATGCGGGCTCGAACCCACGAACCGTGAGATCGTGACCTGAGCCGGAGTGGGACTCTTAACCTACTGAGCTACCGAGGCGCCCCATGGCATTTTAGTCTCTACTCTGCTTCTGTCTGTCTGTCTGTCTGTCTCCATCTCTCTTCTCTGCTTTCTTCCTCTCCTCTCCCTGCTCTCTGTGCAGCTGCCCAATTCCCGACTCACTTTTGTCTGCCTAAGACTGAGCGAGTGGAGTCAGGTGGCAGGAAAGAGGGGCCAGGGGACCGGTGCCTGGGGGGGGGGGGGGGGGAAGCGTTTTCAGGGGCACACAGATCCAAGTAAGCACAGAAGGCAGCGGAGAGCATTATCACCATTATCATGCAAATCTATTTACAAGGCTCCTTTTATTCATTAATCTTTGAATAGCAGAACCTTTGGAACCGCCTGAAATAAGAACCACCTGTGTGTCTACCACTGAAAAAACAAAAACAAAAAAATGAGTTTTAAGGACAATTGATACGTGGGAGCAGGAAGGGAAAAATTAAGTAGAAATCTCTCCATCATTTAGATCTCCACATATATGATTTTATAGCTCCCGTGTTGCAAAATGGCCAGCCGATTGGCAGTTTTGGAGACGCCCCCCCCAAGTTCAGAGAAAACCTCTGGGGAGGGTTGGAAATGTAATGAAATTATTAAACAGTCTTTTTAAAAATCCACTTGGAGGTTCTTCCACACTGACTTTTATTCTGCTTTTTTGGAGATAATACATAATAATATACAATGTAGTCAATGGGATATAAATGATTTGGGTTAACGTTTCAGAGGCACTGGTGAACTCAACATAAAGGGATCTTTTGCAATATCTTCCATGAATTCATAGTAATATAATATAAAAATCTAAAGCTGGAAGAGACCTTGCATATGATCTAGTTCAGTCCTCTCACTGTCTATTAAACCTTTAATTAAGAGTTCTTTACACGTAGTCCAAGTCCCCATTTGTCACATCGCACATAGACTGGTTACATTATCTTTGGAGCAGTTATTCTTACAGGGGGCAACATAGCTCTTGCAAACACTTATTACCCTGTGTTATAGGCAATTAGCAGGGGCTGCAGGGAGATGTAGGGAAGGGCTCCAGCTTTCTCTGCCACTGTTGCTAAGATGGCAGAATACCAGGTAGAAAGTCCACAGAAGAGAACGCATCCCACCTAGGGCTACGCACCTTCTAAGAAAAAATACAGCCATGTCAATGGAATGGAATGGCTCCCATATTCCTTTCGGTAGGACTTTACATCAGCGGAGTAACCATTGTCATTAAAATCCCCTCCCCGAGAGATTCTAACTCCCAAACATTATTGGTCATATGTGTTCGAGTCATGGAATCTTAGAGCTGGAGGGACCCACTCTAAAGAATTATCTCCTCGTTGTGGAGATGAGGAAATTGAAACCCCAGGGAGGGGCATCTGCCCCGTAAGCCTGAACTGGGGGCTCCGACTAGGGACGAGGAGAATGGTCCTGCCTTCTAGCCCAGTGCTTTTTCATCTTTATGATGACCTTACAGGATGACTTAGTTGTGGGATGAAAAATTTAAAATACATCCCTGAACTCTCCATGCCACCGTTTACTCCTCTGTAAAATGAGGCTTGTGATTCCCCGATTGATTTTGTAAGTTCCTCGAGAGCTGGGACCGTGCCGCCCATCCCCGTGTTTCCCAAGACACCAGCTCTCACCTCTCTCTGCACGTGGAGCTGCTCAAGAGATGTTGACTGTTGAATAGTGGAGTGAGTGAACGGACGAATAGGACTTTGAATAGGACTTTGAATTGGACTTCTCCAGCGATGACTCTTTCACGAAATGATTTTTCTAAGTTGTGTGCA